GGGGCAAGAGCAAAGCAGAGCAAGCACAGCTTCCTCAGTGGTGGAGGAAGGAGCAAATCTGGGGACAGCAAGATCCATTAAGCACAGAGAATAAAAGCAGGCTCCATGCCACCCCCACTCCTTGGCAGCCAGGTTGGGACTGCAAGAACGAGTGTTTCTCAGCATAAGGAAGGCTGTATTTCATGTGGCGTGTGCTGAGTATTCGTGCTCTGAACTGAGCTTGCTGGAACGTTGGACGACAGAAACTGAAACTGAACTTTCAGCTATGCATACGATTCTGAAACGGCAGCTCCTCCTATCGAGAAACAATGGAGCAGCGCTGCCAACGAGCAGAAAGCCCCTTCTGTGACCAAGGAAGCTTATCAGTGATGGCGGTTGTTACTTATGCATGGCAGAACTGGGTTTGAAGAAGAAGGTTTTAGGCAGCCATTGCAAAGCCAGACTCCCCTTGTCTGTGTGTGTTGAGGGCAGACGGTGTTCTGCGTATTTTTTGTTGTCGGGTTCGCTTAGAAGTTTTTAACGGGGGTTGTAAAAAGGATGTGAGGCTCCTTCAGCTGTTCGATAACCATGTTCAAAAGAAGCTGCCCCTCCGATTTGGCTCCCAGTGCTCCACCGGTGGAACGGCCAGTATGCACACCGGAGCCCTGGAATGAAGGGAAAAAACCGAAACCTTTTCAATCTACTGAAGTATTGGGGCAGTTTGTAGACACCACAAACAAAGCCTAAAGAGCGCCTGCAACACGCTGGGCGCATGGGAGGACCCTTGCTTAGCGTGTTTAAGGTAACCTGGGTTGAATCCGAGACTTCGAGGAACAGATTGGTTGAAACAAGAACTGTTAACTGCTAACTGAAAAAGCGAGAGGGGTAGCGCAACCACAAGCTCTATCAGCCGCCACCCAAGCAGCATCAGGGTAGCAGAAGAAGAAGAAAAAAAAACCGAGACGAGGCAGACCTGAAAATGGAAGGAGCCAGCGCAGCTCCTGTGTTCTAAACCTGCCTGGCCCTTTAACTGCGAGTAATGACGCAGCAAAGTCCTTGATTGTTAACACTTGCCGTTTACTTCTGCAGCTGCTTCACATTCCCTTTGCATCACAATGCCTGTGCTTTAAGGACACACTTCAACTTGTCTTCTTCGCAAGAACTGATAACCTGGGGGAGGGGGTGTTTCTCTGTCCTCCTACCTCCAGGTCCATGGCGGCTGCCTGCAAAGTTTGTCAAGCCTTACCATAGGCTGGACAGACGAGTGAAAATACCCGGATGTCTCAGCTGCAGGAGCTGACCGTGAATACCCCGAGCAGAATGAGGTAGAGGACGAGAAAAAGGAATGATTGCAAAACATCACTTGGGGGCAACTGAAAAGTAATAGCTTGAATATATGTGCTTGTGAAGTAGCTGTTACTAGAGGCTGTGATTTTGTGTATAAACTGATACAGGGTTAACCAATGTACAAGGGGGGTTTAGAGGAATTGACTCTCTCTTTGGGTCAGGATGCCATTCAACGAAACCCCTTGAGGCTCCTCCCTTCAGTAAGCGAGGGATTTTGCATTTTGGGTCACTGGCCACAGATGTTGAGAATCAGCAGAGAAGTGACAAATCCATGCGATATGTCAAATCTGTAGTTAATGTTGGTGGAGTTTTAATTGAGTGTTTACAATAAATGTTGTTTGGACTCAATTTATTGGTTGCATGATATTTAAATTGGCTTAGCAGGAACCGGTGAGTCCCTTCTCCCCTGGCTGTACAGCGAGTGAACCACCATCGGTCCCAGAGAACGGAACAATCAGATAGGGTCGAGATGGTCAATAGCGCATGTGCGCCATCTTGGGCACATGCTTGGTAGTGGCACAGGACTATTGGAACATTAGGGAGGGATGATTTGGAGAAGTAGACTGATTAAAGGAAGGACTGAAATGGGAAAGAGAGCGAACACGTTTATTGGAACAAAGCATGAAATCATGCTGACACAAGAAAACCTCTCCCAGTATTGTCCAAATTCAGAAGTTGATTTTGGGCACAGACCCAGAAGAATGGGACAGGGATGTGCTTATCGTACTTACGGTGTACAAGAAGGTAGATCAAGCTGCTTGCTTAACAATGTTACTACTCATTCATGCTCATCGTACTCACTGTATATGCTAGAACAAGATACAAGGATGTGACTATTGTTAAGAGGTAGGGACCACGACTTGATTCCTGTCCTTCGGATGCCTAGGCCGGCTGAAATTAGCTCTGCGGTTTGGACAATGACAAAGCCTCCAGGGAGCATGCATGAAGACTAGAGGTGAAAAGTTCGGGCTCAAGGAAAACTCTTTTACTTCATCTTCAGACCCTCGCCCACGACCACTGGGAGGCACTGTGCAGGCACAAAGGACTTATTAGGTCATTATAATACGCAGCTGGGATAGGACATGAATATGTATAGGCGTGTTGTGCAGCCTTATGCATATGTATAACTTTAGAGGGTAAATCTAAAGGGAAAACGATGCTAAGGTGCTCGTGCTTTTGGAGGAGCTATCCCCCATGCGCCCCAGCGCTGAATAAAGCATACCTACTTTACAACTTTTAACAAGTTGTGGAGTCTATCTGCGCATTAATGGCAATGGAAGAGGATTCAAAAAAGTCCTGAACAGGGTGAAGCACCTTTGCAGAGGAAAATCATAAAATCAAGTAGGTTGGAAAAGACATTTAAGATGGTCAAGTTTGTTATTATTACCCCAAGACTGCCAAGACCACCACTAAACCATATCACTGAAGAGAACTAAAAGTAAGTCTACAGAGTAAATAAAGGCTGCTGGTGTTTGTGTTCAGCTGGAGTGACCCAGCGTCTCCCTGCTATGTCTTTCTCTGTGGCCAAGGGGACAGGAGGAGCCTGCAGCCCCCTGCTCGGAGGGCTTTCAAGACAAATGGGTGAGGGGGACCCATTTTTTTCTATTTCTCATTTCACTTGGCACTGGAGCAAAGGTGTTCTTACTATGCAAAGCCTAGAAGTGCTTCCAAGTGCAACTCTTAGGTGCTCTCCCCGCCCAGTTCTAGCCCCATTCTTTCTTTCTTCCTTCCTCACTTTCTGGTATTGTACCTTTTTTCACGTGTGGGGTTTTTCTGAGGACTTCCCAGAGGAATCCATCCCAGAGTAGGGAAGCTCCTCATGGATGTCATAACCTCTTTTTTCTAATTTATCTGTTTTTAAAACAATTCTGCCTTGGAGACAGTTTCTTCTATTATAAGGGGTGTGGCCAGTATCTATGAAAATGGTAACAGTTAACGTTAATCCAGCGGTGAAGAAGAAACTAGACCAAATTAGTTGTCAGTGTAACTTTAGTGACATCACCAGCATTTACTGCTGTGATCTGAATCAGGACTAAAGATTCTGTCACCACGGCGCAAAACAAAGGAATTTCTCTGCTCCCAAACACACCTTTGATAGGCTTTAGCTTCAAGGATTCTCTGTGCCACCCACGCTGCTAACAGTTTGGCAGGATATGTGCTCCGATCTTCTCCAGCAGCTGCTAATACAGTTTCATCAGCCATTCCTGCTTTAGGACCTTGGTGTAACCTATGTATAGACTGTGGTTTTTCAGAAACTCCTTTTGGAGTGTTTTTTACAAGCTGCTGTGAAATCCCCAAGCAACCACAGATAAAAAAAATAAATGACTTCAAGACCTCTACCAACCACATTGGCAAATGACAGCTGTATTCCGTAAGTCATTTTTAATTTCTGTCCTTCAGTTTTCCTGTGACAAGCCTTCTGCATTCTTGGCATTAATAGGCAGAAAATAACTATATGCAGGTGACATATTTTGTAAAAGATTTTAGTCCCCTTTTGTAGATTTAGTCACTGCCACACTTTTCTCCCTTAGAAACACTCTCCTTCTCAGTACCTATTTGCATCGTTAATTTTGTGTAAATTGTGAGGCATCCCTTCACATAAGAGGAACGGATTGCTTTGCCTGTGTTCATGCAAGTATGTGTAGCAAGTGTAGGGGACTTCTAGCTCCTCCGTGTCAGAAGGCAGTGTCTGCAGTCCACAAAATACTGAGCACGTCAAAAGAACTAGGAGGGCTTTCAAGACAAATGGGTGAGGGGGACCTGTCCTGCCAGTGTCATGACAGGCCATGTGACCAGAAGAGCAGTGTCCCTTCTGGGGTACAGGCCATGGGGGCATCAGAGCACAGCTTCTCTGCATCCAAACACCACTTCGTAGAGCTAAGCAGAGCTCCACGGCTGGTCCCAGCATGTCCTCAGAGAAGATCTGCACTGGTAGAAAGAGGTGGGCTTCATGATCCTTGCACATGGAGAAATGAAGACTAAAGACACTCCTTAGTTGGGCCTTTGCTGACTCTCAGGAGCTGTCCAGTGGCCACCTGGTAGAAACTGGGTTCATCTGGGAAAGACAGAAATTTTTCAAAGGGAAAAAAACCCTTTCTGGGTAAGGTAAAATTACTGCGTGAAGAGAGAGGTATTGATCTGGAAGGGTAAAACAGCACTACCAGCAGCATATGAAGTCTTCATTAGGGACTGTATCGCTAGGACAAGGGGTAACAGCCTCAAACTTAAGCAGGGGACATTTAGGTTAGATGTAAGGAAGAAGTATAAGGAAGAAGTTCTTCACTGTGGTGATGGTGAGGCACTGGAACAGGTTGCCCAAGGAAGCTGTGAATGCTGTATCCCTTGCAGTGTTCAAGGCCATGTTGAACAGAATCTTGGCTGACATGGTTAGTGTGTAGTGTCCCTGCCCGTGGCAGAGGCCTTGGAACTAGATGATCTTAGGGTCCTTTTTAACCCTAGCTATTCTATGATTCTGTGTGCAACTGAGCCAGGCCTGTGCTACTCCAGAGTCTATGCTGGGGCTGCTAATACTGAATCTCTTCCTTAATGACATAGCTGGTGGGATTGAGGGTGCCCTTAGCAAGTTTGAAGGTTCCACCAACCTGAACGCTTTGGCCAAATATGGGTGGTGTTGTGAGGTGATGGATCCCTGCAGCCATGTGTGACATGACATGACATCACAGTGGGATACCCACAGCACAGCAAAACATTCTTGTGCCCACTTTGGTAACTGGGCGTGTTTCCCAGGGAGGCCTGGACAATGCTGTGGCTGCTCTTGCCAGCACTCTGATCTGCAGGAGCTGCCCAGCTGCACAGAGGAGGCGAGGGGAGGCTGCGGGAGAGCGTGGCAGAGTGACACGCAGTGAAGTGCTGAGGAGAGGAGCCCAGCAGTTCTGTAGCAGGAACAGCATCTCTTGCCCAGCTGCTGCCGTGCAGGGGGGCAAGGACGATGAAGTATCTGCTCTTTAAAGGCTTGGGGCCTGATGACTTGCCAACCCTGAAGCAGCTGACCATCAAAGGTAAGGCCCTGGCAGTGCTCTTCCAGGAGCACGCTCAGAGCCAGGATGATGCAGAAATCCTGCAGATAATGTGGAAACCCTAAGGCTGGGGCTGTAGCAGGGTCTTCTGGAGGGGACCAGTGGCTGCAAGGAGCACCCTGCCTGCAGGTGCCTTGGGCCTTGGGAGTGGCTTTGGCAGCCCAGGCGTGTAGCCACTGACTGTGTCAAAGGGCAGAATCCCCTTCCCCAACACACTGCAGATGCCTGACATTCCTGTCCTGGGCACAGGACGGAGCTTGGAGGCTGGGGGCTGTCAAGAACACATCTGGGTACCCCCACCGGTGCAAGTGCTTGCTCAGGGCGAGAGCTGCTGCCTGCACTCACTCCACTGTCCCCTCCATGGGTAGCGGTGCCAGATGCTGGCTGTTACTGACTCAGTGCATGGCATTGTCTTTCCTTTGCTTTGTAGAAATCTGCCAAGTATGGGCTGGCACATCTAAGTACATCCGGAAACAGCTCTTGGAGAAGAAGGTGAGCTTTGCCTCCTGCCCATGCCCCCTCCTGCCCCTCCAGGCCCCCAGAGCAGGGCACAACTGCTCTGGTACCATCCCCAGGGGTACAGGAGTCACCGAGCAGCCTTCCTGCTTCTGCACACTCTGCCAATGCTCCCTCTTCTTGCTTGTGTTTTCAGGCAGTGGATGTCGGAATTGGAACATTTGCGCTTGTCCTCGTGCATGTCGGGGTGGGAGAGGACGAGGTTTTGCCTGTTGAGAGACCTGTGTTCCAGCTGTGCCGGTTTATGAAGATGTTTTACAAGCTGAAGTGTGCAAAGACCAAAATTCCTCGTAAGATGAAGGGTGCTTCCTCTGTAGAGCCCTTGCATTTGTCTTGGTGCTCACATCTCTGTCATGTGGCTTAGCAATGGCTCTGCCAAACCGGAGAGAGCTGAGTGTGGGCACATGTACGGCAGCCCGGCGCCCTGCCTCTCCCTGAGAAGCCAGCCCCCCAGCTCACCCTACACTCCAGCTGCTTGCTCGCAGCAAGAGGCAAGGCCTCTCTGTGCCTTCCGTTCATCAGGTCCATGCTGGATACATGGCCGAAGCTGAGAGGGGACTGCATTCTGGCAGTGTTGCCCGAAGGCTGGGCATAGACGGCAGTCCCTGAGTCAGCTGAACTATGATGGGAGTGACTTGGTTGCTTTGTGCTTGTTTCCCAGACGAGACACCAGTAGTTCAGCTGGACTTTGAGCAGATTGGGGCAAACATCCGCTTCCGCCCACAAATCGTGCAGCAATGCATACACGAGACCCTGCTTTTCTTTGCTGCGGCCATCCTAGACAAGAAGGAGGTGGAGTTCTTCTTCAGGAGCATTGGCATCCTTGCTGTGCGAAGAAATGTGGTCAGCATGACCTTCTTTGAGGATTGCTTGCTGGAGCTGGATGCCACAGGGAACATGCAGGCAGCTCTTCTCGGGGTGAGCTTGTCATTTCTCCAGGGCTCCTCTTCATAGCTGTGCGGCAAGGCTGGCAAAGCTGTCTTCTGACACTTTCTCTTGGCTGCCATCACCTTCATCGCCACCTGGCCTGGACAAGCTCTTGATGAGCAAGGCCAATTCTCAGTAGCATCTTGGCCCCTTCAAGGGAGGGATTAATGACATCAAGGGAGAGGTGGTGCGAGGCTTTCTGAGCGGCAAGCATTGTGCCTTTAAGCGGGGAAATGGTTTGCCACCTTTGTGAACAACCTGCACGTGCCATGGGCGTCTGCTGATGTGTCTCTGTCCCCTTGCAGAACCCCAAGATGATGAGGATAGTGGCCTTTGCTGGCAAAAACGATTATAGTCGGGTCAGTCAAGATGGGGTCATCGTGCTGCCAAGGTGAGCAGAACGGCTTCTGCAGTGGTCAAGGGAGCAGCGACTCAGCCCCTGCTGTGGGACGCTCTCTTGCCGAGGCTCCTCTCCTACCCAACTTAGGCAAGCCCAGTTTCCCGATCCGCTCACTGCTCATTCCCCCCTGGCTTGGAGAATGCAAAGTGGCCAGCCTCCTTGCAATGTGACCTGAGAGTGTGAAAGGAAGGCAGGCCTGTGGGGCTGCAAGCAGGGTGTGTGCTGGGATCATCAGCTCTTTGGCAGGAAGGCAAGGGGAGAACTGACAGAGGCTGAAGGAGACTGGGGGGCTCCTCAGGTCGCACAGAGAGCTGCATCCTGTAAGGATCTGGCAGTGGCTCTCAACGATGCCTGCTAGCAGCTTACTGGCTTCAGCTTCTAGGGAGCATGAGGCCCTTTCTCCCAGCTGGTGCCTTCTTCTTTCCAGGCTTATTGCAATCCCCTACCGATCGTCGGGCCATGCCGTGCCTCTGAAGCCCAAGAGAGAATCAGCACCTTGGGGAAATGGTGGCCGCAGAGGTAATGTCCCAGCTGAGTGCTAGCAGGGTGCTGTAGATGCTCGTCTCGTCCTCATGAAGGCAGGAGACTCAAGGAGTCACTGTGTAAGGTGTGGGAGAGAAGAAGGCAGCTCTGGGAGCCTGCACACCCATCGTGGTCCATGTAGGTGACACCACCTGGAAGCTCTGAGCTGGAGCCATGTGCTGCAAAAGGGGCCTTGCAGCAGCTCTGCCTGGAGCTGTCAGCAAGGCTGGGCCAGGCCCGCATTGCTCTCGCAAGCCATGTGTGTGGATCTGAGGAGGAGGAAGGCTGGGGTACTTGCCACTGCCCAACAGGCCCCTGGGCTTCCCCAGCACTCCTCTGTCCCTCCCAGCAGTGAGTCCCTGCTGCCAGCAGAGGTGCGACAAGGTGCAGGAAATAAAACATGCCCCGCAGTGGCAGGTGGCTCAGTCGGAGTTTAGAGCTGGAGCAGATCCAGTGTGGGCAAGGGGCCAGGACCTTGAGGCCATGGCTCCCAGGGGTGGCAAGCACTGTCGGTAAGCCTTGAGTGGCTGTGCTGCGCCGCTGGCCAATGCAGTCCTAAAGATGTTCTTTGCTCTTCTCTTGCCTCCTGCTTGCAGTGAGTGTGCTGGATCCAGTGTTCCTGGCTCAGCAGAGAGTTTCTCTTGCCAAGCTGAAGGCTCAGGAATTGGAGCGGATTAAGGCCCTGGAAGCTAGCCGTGTCAGGTAAGCCTCCTGGAGCAGTGTGTGGCTGGGGGTGCATGGGCACACCGTGCCCTTGTGGTGCAAGAGAGAGGTTTCCCTTGGCCGGGATGCCTGTACTGATGTCAAAAGCCCCCCAGGATGTTGTCCTGCTGGACACATGGTCCTCCTGCCAAGCTGCTTGGTGGTGCCAGAGCCAGGCGGCAGGATGAGAGTCCGTCCCAGAGCAACTGGCTCAGACTGTCTCCCGCAAGCTAAGCCTGCCATGTCCCTTCAGATTCCTGCCAGTAATCAAGGGGATGTCTCAGAATGAACAGAAGCAGCCCAGACCTGCAGTTCGGCGATCCGTGCAGCTCCCTGAGCGTGCCCTGCAGCCCTCAGGAACGGTATGCCCCAGGACTGTGCCAGCCTTGTGTCACATTTTGGACTCAGGGCTGGGGCAAAAGAGGCAGCAAGAGCTGCCCACCACCCCAGCCCTTCTGCCCTGCTCAAGCTGGGGGAGGTTTAATGCGGCATGTGTTGTGTGTGCATGGCACGCAGGAAATGAGCTCCCTGCATGCTGAGAGGGATGATGAGCGGCTTCAGCTGCTGATGGCATTCAAGCGTCAGGAAGTGGAAGCAGAAGTGCAGCGCAAATACCATGCCAGCAGAATGGGGCAGAGCGTGGAGCCAGGCAAGGTATGGCATGCACTTCACAGCCCGAGGAAGAACAGCGTTTGTCCTCCCCACTCCCTGGGAGGAGAGGAGGGAAGCTCTCCTGGCACAGCAGCGTGACAGCAGTGCTGTGGCAAATTGCCCAGGCAGGGCTCTAATGCGTGCAGGTGGCCGTGGGACAGGTGATCGGTTTCATTCCCGTACCCCTCCGTAAGGGGTCAGCACCCCTGCCTTGAAGATTAAGCCATGCCTGGGGAGTCACACGCCTTGCCTGAAGCCTTGGGATCTGTCGCAGCTATTGGTGGCAGTGCATAACGGAGCCTCTTCTGCTTTTGCAGAGCCCCTGCCGCTTCATGTTTGAGGATCCCTATTGCCCTCCCCACCTCCTGAGAAAGGCTTATGCCGAGAAGCTGAAGGAGAGGCTGCTGGAGAAGGAGGTGCTGCAGGAGGAGAGGTGCCAAAGCGCTGCAAGGCAGAGAGCATCCGAGGGGCAGGCAGAGCTGCACCTCTTGGGGAGAGCATGGGGAGGGTAAGTGTGTGCTGGCTCTGCAGAGGCCAGGGAATGCCTTTTGGACTCCCACTACTGGAGATGTCCAGGCTGAAGATGAAAGGCTGGCTTAGCTGACGGGGCTCTTCTGTCCCAAAGCGGGCATTCTTTGCTTGCCCTGCCCATGCAGGACTTTGTAGGTACCCAGCCCCCAGCTGCGATGCCTGCACTGTCCTGGGTATGGTCCCTGCCTGGCTTCAGCCCTGGCTGATCTGCATCTTCTCACTGGAGATGGGTTGGGGCACGGGGGCCCACAGGACACCACACTGAGCAAGGGACTGGCCTCAGCAGCTCCTCCAAGAGCTACTGGCTGAGTCAGGCTCTGGGGTGTTGTGGGCTTTCTTCCCTGGCCAGGAAGCTGAGGCCCATTCTCCTGTGTCCTTTAGCAAGCAGGAGAAAAGGAGGCTCTTGGAGCGCCAGTGGAAGGCCCAGGGGCTGCCAGGCATACCAAGAAGCTGCGAGGTTCCACGCTGTACCACGGAGGCACCAGAAGCAGGGACCTTAATCATCACGGCAGTCACCCCTGTCAGCAGGAGACCTTCTCGCAGAGGGAAATGTGCCAAATAAAGGCTGCTGGTGCTGGTGCCTGTGCCTGGCCAGAGTGAACGTGCTGCTCCCTGCATTGCCTGACTGAATCTCTTTGAGATGTACTGAAATGCTTAACTTTGGGTTGACATGAGACTACATCTGTCATAGGCATCGCAAGGCCTTGCGAAAGCTCTAGTTCTCCCTCACGAACATCCCACACTGCGTAACACTACATCAGCACTGGAAGACATGGACTAAGTTTTTTTCCATCCAAAATGGAACAGTTAGTTGCTTTTTCCTGAATGTTTTCTTGTGGAAACAGAATCCCTTTTTCCTCCAGATGAAGAGTGTTTCTGAATAAGCAACATTTTCAGTGGCTGATGGTGCGGTGCGGTGATCAGGTAAAGACAACACCAGGAGAAGGGTCAGAAAGCAGCGCTCAGAGACTGTGTCAGGGACCTGGGAATTTATTTCCTCTTTCTCCAACGTAAAGTATTGCTGTAACTTCGCTATTGCCGCCAGTGGGGTGGCCTCTTGCAGGGATGGGCAGAGTCCTACTTCCCTGGCACAAGCTCTGGGTGCTGCTTTCTCCCGCTTCTCCTGGTGTATTTCCTGGACCCCACGCCCCACTGATCCCAGGTTGGGTCCCGTTTAGACCTGTGATGAAACCAGCATCCCTTCCTTCCCGCCGCAGACTGCGGGTGAATAGAAAAGAGCAGGTCTGTGAAGCTTGAGGAGTCACCCCAAAATTACAGACCCACAAGAACTCTTGAGACACCCTGCTTCTGAGGATGCTTCTTCAGTTTTTTCCATCTGGGCCACAACCAGCAACTTCTGTCTAGAGCAACAGTCACAACAGGGACAGAAACTCACAAATCACTGGCATCACCAGACAGTGGCACAAACCACCCCCTTGTTTCGGGCAGCAGGGCATCACTCTTAATTTCTTCCAAAGACCACTCCGGCTCACAGCAGGTGCCTTTGCTAAACCATCGCTGCCTCGGTCATGATCAGCTGCTTAGTGGAAAAAATGAGTACTGGTACCAAAGTGCAGCACCCTACAGCTCTCACTTCCCAGGTAAACACCACAGCTTGCTGGCAAAACAGCAAGCAAAGTCTTTTCCAGGACAAAATGCAAACCTGTGCATTTCATAAGCAGTACATTTCAGGTCAGGGGGGAGTGGGAAAAGCAGAAAAGTTCTGGCAACAGTAGAATAATCCAAAGAATATTAAGCTCTGTAAGGGGTCAGCACCCCTGCCTTGAAGATTAAGCCACGCCTGGGGAGTCACACGCCTTGCCTGAAGCCTTGGGATCTATGGGAGGCAGGCAAGAAAGAGGTGGGCTTCATGATCCTTGCACGTGGAGAAATGAAGACTGAAGACACTCCTTAGTTGGGCCTTTGCTGACTCTCAGGAACTGTCCAGTGGCCACCTGGTAGAAACTGGGTTCATCTGGGAAAGACAGAAATTTTTCAAAGAGAAAAAAACCCTTTCTGGGTAAGGTAAAATTACTGCGTGAAGAGAGAGGTATTGATCTGGAAGGGTAAAACAGCACTACCAGCAGCATATGAAGTCTTCATTAGGGACTGTATTGCTAGGACAAGGGGTAACAGCCTCAAACTTAAGCAGGGGACATTTAGGTTAGATGTAAGGAAGAAGTATAAGGAAGAAGTTCTTCACTGTGGTGATGGTGAGGCACTGGAACAGGTTGCCCAAGGAAGCTGTGAATGCTGTATCCCTTGCAGTGTTCAAGGCCATGTTGAACAGAATCTTGGCTGACATGGTTAGTGTGTAGTGTCCCTGCCCGTGGCAGAGGCCTTGGAACTAGATGATCTTAGGGTCCTTTTTAACCCTAGCTATTCTATGATTCTGTGTGCAACTGAGCCAGGCCTGTGCTACTCCAGAGTCTATGCTGGGGCTGCTAATACTGAATCTCTTCCTTAATGACATAGCTGGTGGGATTGAGGGTGCCCTTAGCAAGTTTGAAGGTTCCACCAACCTGAACGCTTGGAATCTTTGGCCAAATATGGGTGGTGTTGTGAGGTGATGGATCCCTGCAGCCATGTGTGACATGACATGACATCACAGTGGGATACCCACAGCACAGCAAAACATTCTTGTGCCCACTTTGGTAACTGGGCGTGTTTCCCAGGGAGGCCTGGACAATGCTGTGGCTGCTCTTGCCAGCACTCTGATCTGCAGGAGCTGCCCAGCTGCACAGAGGAGGCGAGGGGAGGCTGCGGGAGAGCGTGGCAGAGTGACACGCAGTGAAGTGCTAAGGAGAGGAGCCCAGCAGTTCTGTAGCAGGAACAGCATCTCTTGCCCAGCTGCTGCCGTGCAGGGGGGCAAGGACGATGAAGTATCTGCTCTTTAAAGGCTTGGGGCCTGATGACTTGCCAACCCTGAAGCAGCTGACCATCAAAGGTAAGGCCCTGGCAGTGCTCTTCCAGGAGCACGCTCAGAGCCAGGATGATGCAGAAATCCTGCAGATAATGTGGAAACCCTAAGGCTGGGGCTGTAGCAGGGTCTTCTGGAGGGGACCAGTGGCTGCAAGGAGCACCCTGCCTGCAGGTGCCTTGGGCCTTGGGAGTGGCTTTGGCAGCCCAGGCGTGTAGCCACTGACTGTGTCAAAGGGCAGAATCCCCTTCCCCAACACACTGCAGATGCCTGACATTCCTGTCCTGGGCACAGGACGGACAGCTTGGAGGCTGGGGGCTGTCAAGAACACATCTGGGTACCCCCACCGGTGCAAGTGCTTGCTCAGGGCGAGAGCTGCTGCCTGCACTCGCTCCACTGTCCCCTCCATGGGTAGCGGTGCCAGATGCTGGCTGTTACTGACTCAGTGCATGGCATTGTCTTTCCTTTGCTTTGTAGAAATCTGCCAAGTATGGGCTGGCACATCTAAGTACATCCGGAAACAGCTCTTAGAGAAGAAGGTGAGCTTTGCCTCCTGCCCATGCCCCCTCCTGCCCCTCCAGGCCCCCAGAGCAGGGCACCCCTGCTCTGGTACAATCCCCAGGGGTACAGGAGTCACCGAGCAGCCTTCCCGCTTCTGCACACTCTGCCAATGCTCCCTCTTCTTGCTTGTGTTTTCAGGCAGTGGATGTCGGAATTGGAACATTTGCGCTTGTCCTCGTGCATGTCGGGGTGGGAGAGGACGAGGTTTTGCCTGTTGAGAGACCTGTGTTCCAGCTGTGCCGGTTTATGAAGATGTTTTACAAGCTGAAGTGTGCAAAGACCAAAATTCCTCGTAAGATGAAGGGTGCTTCCTCTGTAGAGCCCTTGCATTTGTCTTGGTGCTCACATCTCTGTCATGTGGCTTAGCAATGGCTCTGCCAAACCGGAGAGAGCTGAGTGTGGGCACATGTACGGCAGCCCGGCGCCCTGCCTCTCCCTGAGAAGCCAGCCCCCCAGCTCACCCTACACTCCAGCTGCTTGCTCGCAGCAAGAGGCAAGGCCTCTCTGTGCCTTCCGTTCATCAGGTCCATGCTGGATACATGGCCGAAGCTGAGAGGGGACTGCATTCTGGCAGTGTTGCCCGAAGGCTGGGCATAGACGGCAGTCCCTGAGTCAGCTGAACTATGATGGGAGTGACTTGGTTGCTTTGTGCTTGTTTCCCAGACGAGACACCAGTAGTTCAGCTGGACTTTGAGCAGATTGGGGCAAACATCCGCTTCCGCCCACAAATCGTGCAGCAATGCATACACGAGACCCTGCTTTTCTTTGCTGCGGCCATCCTAGACAAGAAGGAGGTGGAGTTCTTCTTCAGGAGCATTGGCATCCTTGCTGTGCGAAGAAATGTGGTCAGCATGACCTTCTTTGAGGATTGCTTGCTGGAGCTGGATGCCACAGGGAACATGCAGGCAGCTCTTCTCGGGGTGAGCTTGTCATTTCTCCAGGGCTCCTCTTCATAGCTGTGCGGCAAGGCTGGCAAAGCTGTCTTCTGACACTTTCTCTTGGCTGCCATCACCTTCATCGCCACCTGGCCTGGACAAGCTCTTGATGAGCAAGGCCAATTCTCAGTAGCATCTTGGCCCCTTCAAGGGAGGGATTAATGACATCAAGGGAGAGGTGGTGCGAGGCTTTCTGAGCGGCAAGCATTGTGCCTTTAAGCGGGGAAATGGTTTGCCACCTTTGTGAACAACCTGCACGTGCCCTGGGCGTCTGCTGATGTGTCTCTGTCCCCTTGCAGAACCCCAAGATGATGAGGATAGTGGCCTTTGCTGGCAAAAACGATTATAGTCGGGTCAGTCAAGATGGGGTCATCGTGCTGCCAAGGTGAGCAGAACGGCTTCTGCAGTGGTCAAGGGAGCAGCGACTCAGCCCCTGCTGTGGGACGCTCTCTTGCCGAGGCTCCTCTCCTACCCAACTTAGGCAAGCCCAGTTTCCCGATCCGCTCACTGCTCATTCCCCCCTGGCTTGGAGAATGCAAAGTGGCCAGCCTCCTTGCAATGTGACCTGAGAGTGTGAAAGGAAGGCAGGCCTGTGGGGCTGCAAGCAGGGTGTGTGCTGGGATCATCAGCTCTTTGGCAGGAAGGCAAGGGGAGAACTGACAGAGGCTGAAGGAGACTGGGGGGCTCCTCAGGTCGCACAGAGAGCTGCATCCTGTAAGGATCTGGCAGTGGCTCTCAACGATGCCTGCTAGCAGCTTACTGGCTTCAGCTTCTAGGGAGCATGAGGCCCTTTCTCCCAGCTGGTGCCTTCTTCTTTCCAGGCTTATTGCAATCCCCTACCGATCGTCGGGCCATGCCGTGCCTCTGAAGCCCAAGAGAGAATCAGCACCTTGGGGAAATGGTGGCCGCAGAGGTAATGTCCCAGCTGAGTGCTAGCAGGGTGCTGTAGATGCTCGTCTCGTCCTCATGAAGGCAGGAGACTCAAGGTCACTGTGTAAGGTGTGGGAGAGAAGAAGGCAGCTCTGGGAGCCTGCACACCCGTCGTGGTCCATGTAGGTGACACCACCTGGAAGCTCTGAGCTGGAGCCATGTGCTGCAAAAGGGGCCTTGCAGCAGCTCTGCCTGGAGCCGTCAGCGAGGCTGGGCCAGGCCCGCATTGCTCTCGCAAGCCATGTGTGTGGATCTGAGGAGGAGGAAGGCTGGGGTACTTGCCACTGCCCAACAGGCCCCTGGGCTTCCCCAGCACTCCTCTGTCCCTCCCAGCAGTGAGTCCCTGCTGCCAGCAGAGGTGCGACAAGGTGCAGGAAATAAAACATGCCCCGCAGTGGCAGGTGGCTCAGTCGGAGTTTAGAGCTGGAGCAGATCCAGTGTGGGCAAGGGGCCAGGACCTTGAGGCCATGGCTCCCAGGGGTGGCAAGCACTGTCGGTAAGCCTTGAGTGGCTGTGCTGCGCCGCTGGCCAATGCAGTCCTAAAGATGTTCTTTGCTCTTCTCTTGCCTCCTGCTTGCAGTGAGTGTGCTGGATCCAGTGTTCCTGGCTCAGCAGAGAGTTTCTCTGGCCAAGCTGAAGGCTCAGGAATTGGAGCGGATTAAGGCCCTGGAAGCTAGCCGTGTCAGGTAAGCCTCCCGGAGCAGTGTGTGGCTGGGGGTGCATGGGCACACCGTGCCCTTGTGGTGCAAGAGAGAGGTTTCCCTTGGCCGGGATGCCTGTACTGATGTCAAAAGCCCCCCAGGATGTTGTCCTGATGGACACATGGTCCTCCTGCCAAGCTGCTTGGTGGTGCCAGAGCCAGGCGGCAGGATGAGAGTCCGTCCCAGAGCAGCTGGCTCAGACGGTCTCCCGCAAGCTAAGCCTGCCATGTCCCTTCAGATTCCTGCCAGTAATCAAGGGGATGTCTCAGAATGAACAGAAGCAGCCCAGACCTGCAGCTCGGCGATCCGTGCAGCTCCCTGAGCGTGCCCTGCAGCCCTCAGGAACGGTATGCCCCAGGACTGTGCCAGCCTTGTGTCACATTTTGGACTCAGGGCTGGGGCAAAAGAGGCAGCAAGAGCTGCCCACCACCCCAGCCCTTCTGCCCTGCTCAAGCTGGAGGAGGTTTAATGCGGCATGTGTTGTGTGTGCATGGCACGCAGGAAATGAGCTCCCTGCATGCTGAGAGGGATGATGAGCGGCTTCAGCTGCTGATGGCATTCAAGCGTCAGGAAGTGGAAGCAGAAGTGCAGCGCAAATACCATGCCAGCAGAATGGGGCAGAGCGTGGAGCCAGGCAAGGTATGGCATGCACTTCACAGCCCGAGGAAGAACAGCGTTTGTCCTCCCCACTCCCTGGGAGGAGAGGAGGGAAGCTCTCCTGGCACAGCAGCGTGACAGCAGTGCTGTGGCAAATTGCCCAGGCAGGGCTCTAATGCGTGCAGGTGGCCGTGGGACAGGTGATCGGTTTCATTCCCGTACCCCTCCGTAAGGGGTCAGCACCCCTGCCTTGAAGATTAAGCCATGCCTGGGGAGTCACACGCCTTGCCTGAAGCCTTGGGATCTGTCCCAGCTATTGGTGGCAGTGCATAACGGAGCCTCTTCTGCTTTTGCAGAGCCCCTGCCGCTTCATGTTTGAGGATCCCTATTGCCCTCCCCACCTCCTGAGAAAGGCTTATGCCGAGAAGCTGAAGGAGAGGCTGCTGGAGAAGGAGGTGCTGCAGGAGGAGAGGTGCCAAAGCGCTGCAAGGCAGAGAGCATCCGAGGGGCAGGCAGAGCTGCACCTCTTGAAGAGAGCATGGGGAGGGTAAGTGTGTGCTGGCTCTGCAGAGGCCAGGGAATGCCTTTTGGACTCCCACTACTGGAGATGTCCAGGCTGAAGATGAAAGGCTGGCTTAGCTGACGGGGCTCTTCTGTCCCAAAGCGGGCATTCTTTGCTTGCCCTGCCCATGCAGCACTTTGTAGGCACCCAGCCCCCAGCTGCGATGCCTGCACTGTCCTGGGTATGGTCCCTGCCTAGCTTCAGCCCTGGCTGATCTGCATCTTCTCACTGGAGATGGGTTGGGGCACGGGGGCCCACAGGACACCACACTGAGCAAGGGACTGGCCTCAGCAGCTCCTCCAAGAGCTACTGGCTGAGTCAGGCTCTGGGGTGTTGTGGGCTTTCTTCCCTGGCCAGGAAGCTGAGGCCCATTCTCCTGTGTCCTTTAGCAAGCAGGAGAAAAGGAGGCTCTTGGAGCGCCAGTGGAAGGCCCAGGGGCTGCCAGGCATACCAAGAAGCTGCGAGGTTCCACGCTGTACCACGGAGGCACCAGAAGCAGGGACCTTAATCATCACGGCAGTCACCCCTGTCAGCAGGAGACCTTCTCGCAGAGGGAAATGTGCCAAATAAAGGCTGCTGGTGCTGGTGCCTGTGCCTGGCCAGAGTGAACGTGCTGCTCCCTGCATTGCCTGGCTGAATCTCTTTGAGATGTACTGAAATGCTTGACTTTGGGGTGTGACATGAGACTACATCTGTCATAGGCATCGCAAGGCCTTGCGAAAGCTCTAGTTCTCCCTCACGAACATCCCACACTGCATAACACTACATCAGCACTGGAAGACATGGACTAAGTTTTTTTCCATCCAAAATGGAACAGTTAGTTGCTTTTTCCTGAATGTTTTCTTGTGGAAACAGAATCCCTTTTTCCTCCAGATGAAGAGTGTTTCTGAATAAGCAACATTTTCAGTGGCTGATGGTGCGGTGCGGTGATCAGGTAAAGACAACACCAGGAGAAGGGTCAGAAAGCAGCGCTCAGAGACTGTGTCAGGGACCTGGGAATTTATTTCCTCTTTCTCCAACGTAAAGTATTGCTGTAACTTCGCTATTGCCGCCAGTGGGGTGGCCTCTTGCAGGGATGGGCAGAGTCCTACTTCCCTGGCACAAGCTCTGGGTGCTGCTTTCTCCCGCTTCTCCTGGTGTATTTCCTGGACCCCACGCCCCACTGATCCCAGGTTGGGTCCCGTTTAGACCTGTGATGAAACCAGCATCCCTTCCTTCCCGCCGCAGACTGCGGGTGAATAGAAAAGAGCAGGTCTGTGAAGCTTGAGGAGTCACCCCAAAATTACAGACCCACAAGAACTCTTGAGACACCCTGCTTCTGAGGATGCTTCTTCAGTTTTTTCCATCTGGGCCACAACCAGCAACTTCTGTCTAGAGCAACAGTCACAACAGGGACAGAAACTCACAAATCACTGGCATCACCAGACAGTGGCACAAACCACCCCCTTGTTTCGGGCAGCAGGGCATCACTCTTAATTTCTTCCAAAGACCACTCCGGCTCACAGCAGGTGCCTTTGCTAAACCATCGCTGCCTCGGTCATGATCAGCTGCTTAGTGGAAAAAATGAGTACTGGTACCAAAGTGCAGCACCCTACAGCTCTCACTTCCCAGGTAAACACCACAGCTTGCTGGCAAAACAGCAAGCAAAGTCTTTTCCAGGACAAAATGCAAACCTGTGCATTTCATAAGCAGTACATTTCAGGTCAGGGGGGAGTGGGAAAAGCAGAAAAGTTCTGGCAACAGTAGAATAATCCAAAGAATATTAAGCTCTGTAAGGGGTCAGCACCCCTGCCTTGAAGATTAAGCCACGCCTGGGGAGTCACACGCCTTGCCTGAAGCCTTGGGATC